CCTCCTAACTGGCCTCCCTGCTTCCGCCCTGGCCCTCTCGGCCCCCCAGGCTACCTGCAACAGGGCAGCCAGAGGAATCCTGCTAAGCCAAAGGCAGGGCCTGCCGCTGCCATAATCCTCCAAAGGCCCCCCCTTCACTCGGAAGAAAACACTGGGAGTCCCTGTCTTTCCTGGGACCGTGAGGCCCACCACTCCCACTTTTCAGGCCTCGTGCCCCACAAGCCTCTCCCCCCCTCAGCAGTGGTCATGCCGGCCCCCCTGGGCTTCTCCTCGGACACGCCAGCATCGCCCCCGAACCAGGGCCTTTGCACGAGCTCACCCCTCTGCCTGGACGACTCTTTCCCGGCCACCCAGGGGGCCTGTTCCCTCACCTGCTGCAAATCTTGCTCAAATGTCACCTGCTCTGTTAGAGCTTACCTGGTCACCTTATCATCCATGACACTATCCCCACGGCACCTGCCCCCGAAAGATCTATCCCGCTTCCCTGCTCTGTGTTGATAGCAGTCATCACCTTCTGACAGTTAACTCTCTACTTAGCTATTCTCCCTGGTGGTCCAGTGGTTAGGACTCAGAGCTTTCACTGCCAAGGGCCCTGGTCTGATCCCTGGTCGGGGGCTAAGATCCCACAACCCGTGAGGCACAACCTAACTTAGTTATCCTCTGCCTCTCCCACTCGGCTGTTAGCTGTGTGAGAGCACAGATTTTGGTCTGTTTTGTTCACTGATGCATCTCTAGCACCTGGAACCATTACTGGCACATAATCTGGGTTAAATAAATATTTGCTGAATAAATAAATGATCAGACTCTCAAGACTGGTCCGAGAGGCTTCTCTCCTTCTCATCTAAGAGAACAGGGTTAGGCCAAGCAAACATCCTCCTGTAGGTCACAACCACTTAGGTCTAATGCAACTCCCTAGGTTACACATGCAGAAACTGATGGCCCCGGGGGCAATATGAGGAAGGTGAAGGTCACAGAGAGATTAACAGAAAACGATGGCTAAAACCTGGACCACCCAATGCCCAGTCAGACGTCTTTCCACCATATCACACATCCTGCCTCATCCAGAGAAGAAGCTTCTAAGAAAGCATCAACCTAATATATAATCTAAGGACCAGGGTGTGCACAGAATAGGGGGATCTACCAGCAAGACCACCTCGTGCGGTGTGAGCCCTTGGCCAAATCACTCAGTCTCTCCTGGTTAATCTGGAAAACAGTTTGGATCAACCACCACTTACTGATTTGGCAGTAACAATGCGAAGATGAGTAAGGCACGCTCCCTAAACACGCAGAGCTCACCGTCTGGTGAAGAAAACAAGCGCTTTCCAACACTGAGTGTGACGCACAATGGGGTACTTTAGTCCAGACTGCATGAAAACAGGCCAGCCCTGACCAGGAGGTACACTGGAGGCGAGTTCTTGAACATCTTTAAAAAGTAAGCCCAGGGCTTCCCTGTTGGCGCAGTGGTTAAGAGTCCGCCTGCCGATGCAGGGGACGCGGGTTCGTGCCCCGGTCTGGGAGGATCCCACATGCTGCGGAGCGGCTGGGCCCGTGAGCCATGACCGCTGGGCCTGCGCGTCCGGAGCCTGCGCTCCACAACGGGAGAGGCCACAGCAGTGAGAGGCCCGCGTACCGCAAAAAAATAAAAATAAAAATAAAATAAGCCCAGCAAGGACTTCCCTGGAAGTCCAGTGATTAAGACTCCGCGCTCACAATGCAGGGGCACGGGTTCCATCCCTGGTCGGGGAACTAAGATCCCACATGGCACACAGCGAGGCCAAAAAGGTAATAACTAAATAAGAAAAATAAAAAGCCAGGCAAAGGAGAGGGAAGGGAGGAAAAGAACATTCTGGCCACAGCTATGAAAGCATGAAACTGACAGAGGCATCACACAGCAGGTACAGCGAGGATCCTACAAGTCCATCAGCACCCGTGAGGGCAAAGCTCAAAGCAGGGAGGGGCGGGAGATGGGGCTAAAGAATTGAGCGGGCTCAGGTCATAAAGGGCCTTAGACATCATGCAAAAACACTTAAGCTTCTCGGCATGGCATTTCGGGGAAAACAACCAAGGGGCTTTAAACCAGCCTACCTCATCGAGTGTCAGAGTGTGCTTGGAGGACAGAGTGTGCTTTGTAAATTCTAAAACACCAGAGACACGAACATTTGCAGAGCGCCAGGAATAGCGCCTGGCAAACAGTAAGTGCTCGGTGAATAGCGGCCGCTACTGTCATAGGAATTATTACTAAGGAATTACTAATTATACAGGACTGCGCTATACAAAAGAGCCTTTGCCAGTTCCATACTTTGTGGTGGGTGTATTCTTCCTCCTTTGAGTTTCTCTGGGTTGAGGCCCACACTCAAAAAAAGTTAATCACAGGAACCACTCAAAAGAGCTGGCACGACCGCTGGAAGCCAGCTGGGAACTGCAGCACCGAGCTTGTGCAGGTAAAGACCAGGTATGCGGCCGGTGGTCACCACAGGGAGGTCATCTACTGACAGGGAAACGGGCACACCTTTGCAACTCCTCCTGTCGCCTGAAACGGCAGCACTGCCAGAGATGAGGCCACAGGAGGCGAGGGGCACGCAGTGGCTGTGCAGGCCTTTCCGGGCGAGCCGACCTCTCCTCCTCGCCCTGCCCTCTGCAGTGACAGCCTCCAGGAGGCCTCCCAGACTCCACTCCAAGTCTGGGACTATCACACGGGAACGACTCTCAAAAAGGCCTAAGGCACAGCACGGTATCGGAGTCCAAGGAAAAAGCAAGGCTGTCTTTGGGAATGCAGGATTTCACAGAAGAAAGTTGAGGACAGTATTATTTTCCTGTGGCTGTCACAACAAATTACCACAAACTTAGCAGCTTAAGACAACAGAAACTTATCCTGTCACAGAGCTGGAGGCTACAAGTCCAAAGTCAAGGTGTGGGCAGGGCCATGCTCTCTCTGAAGGCTCTAGGAGAGGATCCTTCCCTGCCTCTCCTAGCTCTACTGGCTGCCAGGAATCCTCAGCCTGCCTTGGTTTGTAAAGGCACCACTCCAGTCTGTCTCCATCTTCACATGCCATCTTCCCTGTGTCTGTCTCTCTGTGTGCAAATCTCCCTCTTCTTATAAGGACACCAGTCACTGGACCAGGGCTCACTCTAATCCAGTGCGGCCTCACTTCTCATTTTAACTTGACTCCATCTGCAAACACCCTATTTCCAAATATGGTCACATTCACACGGTCCGAGGGCCTGAATGGGGGGGGGCACTACTGAACCCAATACAAGGACAAATACCCAAGAGACACAGTCATCAATCCAGAGGCTTATTCACCATTATAACTACACACAGGAGCTCGAGTATTCTCACACCTCAGCTGGTTGTTAAGAATCAGAATCTATTTAGACGGAGGAGGAACCAAAATCTCAATACCTAAAAACAACACACAAAAGTTCTACTGCCACGTGGCTCCTTTCCTTGGAGTCTGTGTTCTACAGCATGTGTTCCTGTCACTGCCAGGACCTCCTATTCTCTGCTATTCCAGAATTTTCACATCATCCTGGACCCTGACATTGGTTTTGATGAAACCTCTTATTGTTCTTCAGTCAAGCACAGTCCTAAGGACTTCCCTGGTGGCACAGTGGCTGGCTAAGAATCCTCCTGCCAATGCTGGGGACACAGGTTCAAGCCCTGGTCCAAGAAGAGCCCACGTGTCGAGGAGCAACTAAACCCGTGAGCCACAACTACTGAGCCTGCGCTCTAGAGCCCACGAGCCACAACTACTGAGCCCGCGTGCCACAACTCCTGAAGCCCACACGCCTAGAGCCCGTGCTCCACAACAAGACAAGCCACCGCAATGAGAAGCGACACACCACAACGAAGAGTAGCCCCCGCCCGCCGCAACTAGAGAAAGGCTGTGCGCAGCAACGAAGACCCAACACAGCCGAAAATAAAATATAAATAAATAAATTTATTTATTAAAAGGAAAAAAAACCCCACAGTCCTACAAAGTAAAATAGGGTGCCTGGCCAACTTCAGTGACCCCCTCCAAAGTCGCTTTTCTGAGCAGTCAGGAACTCATACTGCTAACTCCCAGACCATTCTGAAAATTAAACCTTTCTGACTCGACACAGTGCATTCCAAAGTTTACAATTCTACCACTCAAACAATAGTGTTTACTATGCAACACTTACGAATAAACTGTGCTTATGAATGATTCTACTTGGAGTTAAGACCACAATGCTTAATTTTCAGTATCTCAGACTTTAGTTTCCAAACTGATCAGTGTGTAGAAATCTTGTAGTTTGTTTGTCTCTAATCTATTTTCACCAGCAGCTGACTTTATCCTAGGTGTTTTCCCCGTCATGTCTCCCATGTTTCCTAGGGCCCTGGCTGGGCTGGGTGACACATCAATCAGAGGAGGACTTTGGAGTTGTACAGCTTCCAGGTTGCACCCAGGTCGCTGCAGGCACTTAACTAAAAAAAAAAAAAAAAAAATTTCTTCCTGCTGCTGACTCAAGACAGGAGTTGGCTTTGAAGCCAGAAAGTGGGAACATGGAAATCCACAGGGAGCCTCAAGTATTCTTCCTCGCCCAGGGCAAAAGCAGCAACCCAGGAGAGAACGAGAACGCCAATCAAATGGGTCAAAACCACCACGCCCCCTGCAGAAACCGAGCTCGCCAGCGGACGCAGACTGCCCCGGCCACTTTCCTCACTCCACCAACTCCTCGCGGCTGGAGAAGAGTGGGTTCCTTGCAGCTTCCCCAGGGGTCCGAGGAGTTTCGCAGAAGAGAGCCTGCCGGTCTCGGGACAAGCCTGCCGGCAGCTCCTCCTCTTTTCTGGCCTCGCTCCTACGTGCAGCCACTGTCACCTCCCAGACCCCACGATCCGACCCCCAGGACACCCCGAGCAGTCTCCTCAGAGCCCAGGTCACCCCTCCCCAGACCCCGACTCCACCGCAGCCCAGCGGGCCGAAGCGCCCACCTGACCTCTGACCTCTGACCCCGACCCGGGTCCCCGTCACACTCACCTGCCCGGGACCTTGCTGTTGCTGCGCTTCCAGAACTGCTTCCTGGCCCCGTCGCTGGCCATGGCCCCTCCTCATCCCTCAGACCCGCAGCCCCGACACCCCGAGGGCGGCCAACCCGCCCCGGCGGCCCTTTCCTGTACCCCGGGTGGCCCCCTCACTGATCCCGGGATTCCAGAGAGTAGAGCCGAGAGGCTCTTCCGCCTCCCTCCGGAAGTTGTAGCTCCGCGCACCAGGAAGTCCCGCCTCCGACCCAGGGGCGCGTGATGGACGCGGCGGATCCTGACGTCACTAAAAGGCGTCTAAGGGGCGGTGCCGCGGAGGAAGTGCAGCTGCCGGGTCGTCCTTCTAACTGCCCGCTTTTAACTGGCCTGGTGTCCGGCCCAGGGTTCTCCTACTGCGCGAAGCGGCAGGACAATGGTCCTAACCCGAGGGCGAGGCGACGCGGAGACCGAAAGCACCCCGCTGCGGGTGGTGGTCGAGGAGGTGTCTGTCGCCCGCACTTGCTAGGGATCGGTAAATACCAAGTGGCTGACTTATCGCTGCAGTCAGTGAAGCCAGGTGAGAACCATGAGGAAGTGGTCGGGGCTTGTGAGGGGCACGGGTGGTGGGGTCCGGGGAGGAGGCAGGTGGGTCGGGGAAGGAGGGGGTTGGCAGGCTTCGGCTGAAGCGTGAAGATTCCCGCACCGGAGCCTTGGCCGCGGGCGGCTATCGGCGCTTGAAACGTGCAGGTGAAATACACCCAGGACTTCAGTACCAAAGAAGGAATGATGACGCTGATTTTTATGTTGAGTACACGTTGAAGTAAAATATTTTGTGTATTGGATTCAATAAATGTATTGCTAAAATTATTTTCACATTCCTTTTTTTCAAAGTAGCTACCAGAAAATTAGAAGTTACGTATGTGGCTGCATTATATTTCTGTCGGCGGTAGACCTAACCCGAGAGGTCAGGGACCGGCATTTCAGAAGGGAGCGCAGTGCGGCTTTGGGGAGCCGCTTGACAGACGCGTGCCAGTTCTTGATGATATTTTCTGATTAAAGTTCTCCGTGCCTCCTCACTTATGATAAGTAACACTGATGTAGTACTTGCTGTACGCAGGGTATTGTGCTAGGTACTTTACGTGTATTATCTCAGTCGTATGCCAACCAGCACCTCAGTAAAGGCCACCCCCAGCCCTCAGAGCAGAGTGCGTGGCTCTCTCAGATCCCTTGCAACACTGAGTTTTCTATCCTGTCTTGTAGTAGCAGAGGCTTCCCACAGCCCTTGTCCCTGCCCTGGAACATTTACTGCCTGTCTTTCTTCCCATGGAGCCCGTAGGGTACTGCAAGATACTGCTGGGCGGGTGAGACCTGTGTCTTCTGCTTCTACAGCTAACACAGTAAGCGTTTGTTAAACGGATGACAACCATGGGAGCTCTCCAGGGATCCCCTTCTGTCACAGCCACAGAATCTCCCTGAGGTGATTGCAGTGGGTCCTTGGGGATCCCCTGTTGACAGAACCTCAGTAGACACTCAGAGCTACGATGCTGCACAGCCTGAGGAACTGTCCCGGCATCCTGTCCTTTCATGACCTCAGTGAATCTCCAGAGATGTCCTGATAAAGCCTCAGTGGATCCTTAGGGACCCCTTCCTGGACATAGCCTCAGGAAGCCTCCTGGGATCCTTGGCTAGTGGGGCTCAGGAAGGCCCCAGGGATCTCTTCCCAGTATACAGCCCCGTGGCCTCCCCAGAGGTCTTCCTCAGTGATCAGCTCCTGACAGCCTCAGGGATGCCCTGCCGACAGGGGATTTTCCCCAGCTCAATTTAGCTTCTTGCAAGAATCAGTGAGTGGGGTCGCAGCAGAACTAAGATAGTAGCGTTTAGAAAGGGAAGATTGACAGCAGTCAGCGAGCGACCGATTGGGTGTAATTATAACATCTTAGGTTTGGTTGCTCCCCATAGCTTACCTAATGCTTCCCTGTCTCCTATCTCTTAGGGGAGGGAGTTAGTTACAGGGAGACTAAGATTGACTCGAAGGCTTCAAGACTATCTGAGCAAAGGATTACTATTACCACCGACAGAAACCTCAAAGCAAGCAGTGAGCCTGTTTGCAGCCAGGTTTATGGTTGGTTTAGGACATGTTGGGTTTGAGGTCAGATGTCAGGCCTCAGGCAAGCACTAGGTTAGAGGACATATTGGTCTCCAGGTGAGGAGACGGGGTTACACAGGGGAGGACAGGCCAGGGTGAAGTCCCAAGACCGGTGGGGCGGGCATAGGTCAGCATCAAGAACGACGTAATCAAAAAACATAGTCAAGTAGGAATCTCCAGAAATGGGTTCATGCGGGGGCGTGTGGTAGAGATGGATGTGAGGGAGTATCTGGAAGAAGGCCAGTCGTGTAAGCCGGTGTCCTGCAGAGGTAGAGCTGAGGAACGGGACCCACGCAGGAGTCAAACAGGACGTGTGCATGAGCACAGAGAGTGAATGAGTGAGCCTTTATTCACCTGAGTGGCAAACGTAAGAGGCTTCCTTTCACTGAGATTCAGGCTACTGTAAAAACCAAGGACATACCATTTCACGCTTAACAAACAATTTAAAAATCTCTCAGTGCCAAAATTGATGAGGGTGTGGACTTATGAGCAGTACATAAATCAGAGTGCACCGATTCACTGCCGGTGGGAGCATAAGTTCATTCTGTCACTTTGGACAGCCATCTAGCAATTTCTTGTAGTTAAAGGTGCGCATACCCTACAAGCCAGGTGTGTACCCTAGAGCCACTCGCGTGTGTGCAAAGACAGGAACGTTCATTGCAATGTTGCTCCTGGGGAAAACTGATCAATTACACGTAGCTTTCTGGAGAATGCTATACGATAGTAAAAAATGAATGGTACTTACATGTCAACATGAATGGATTTCACAAGCAATGATGAGTGCAAAAAGTTGAATGTGAATGCATGTAATATGATACCACTTCATTTTTTTAGAGTAAAAAAATACTAAAAGCTAAATTCAGGAGTGTGGTTGCCTCTGGGTGTTGGTGGGGACTTTGATCAGTGAGGAATTTACAGGGAGTTCAGTTGTTTTATGCTTTATTTCTTAAGGCAGATGGACTGTGTTCAGGTGTTTGTTTTATTCTTTATGACTTTTTGCATGTATAAATTGTTTCATAATACATGAAAATGTAATTAGGGAACTCTCACCCTGTTATGCACTGAGCTACCTCAAGCGCTTTTTGGAAAAGGCAAGCATAATGCTGCAGCAACGAAGGAACAGCGCTGAGGCTTGGAGGAGTCAGGTCCACTGATAGGTTTGTAGCTACTGTTTCAGGTTGAGTAGCTATGACGGGACAAAATGCAACCGGGAACGTCGTTGCCGAAGCCAGGGGACAAGGGAAAACTGGGTGCTGCCTAACAGGTGGGGGTTAAGGATGGCAAGATCTGTGGTGCAGGCTGGGTTCCCCGGGAAGCAGATTGTAAGACACGTATTTCCATGCAGATGGCTTACTGGGGAGAAGTTAAACTGGGAGGGGCCGACCCCGAAGGATGGCCCCCAGAGATGTCTTGAGATGAGCCGGTGGAGCCTTTGCATAGCTGCATGGACGAGTCACTGAATGTGGGCTGCCCCCTGAGAAGGTGCGTAACCTCGGGAGAGGAAGTGCCTTCTGCCGAGGTCAGGTCCCAAGGAGGCACTTATCTCCAAGCCATCAGCAGCCAACACTGCCAGCAACTGAGGGGAATGAGAGCCTTCGTCTTCCAGGAGGAGTCTGGGCCGTGTGACGCCAGCGCGTCTGCGGCAGCCCGCCCTCTGCCCCACGCAGATCTGCTGGCTTCACGTAAGTTCATCGTCTAGGAAGACGTCTCCAGGATTCTGGTTGGTCCCTTTTCTGGATAAACTTCCAAGAGGAAGGTTGACGACGTGATCCTGGAGCCACAACAGTCACCGTCCCTCCACCATCACCTGTTGTAGACGCCCTCCCGCTGCCAACACTAACCCTGCCCCTACCTGGTAGCACCTCTGCTGCTCTAGGTCACTTACCTGTTGGAGTGATCCAGACTCTCATCCTAGAGGCCTCGGAGCCGCTGGCCACTGACGGTGCCCCCCTCAGGCGTGGCTGCTCTACTTGCCCACATGCCATTAATGCTGGTCAGAGAAGCACCCCAGTGGCTCATGTAGGTGCCACACGTGACCTTGCTGCCCTCACCACACAGGAGCACCCCTGCCTCCCCATGGTGAGGAGACACCTCTCCTTGCTTGCTAGTTTCCTGGCACAAGGAGCCCCCAGTGAGCGAACTTAAAGTTCAGTGAGGCTCCCGCTGTGTCCTTTTCTGAAAGCATTCCCACTCTGGGATTCGGGGCCTCTAGGAGAGGCCAGGATTGTGAGAACAAGAAACACAAACTCCCCTGAAAGTGACGACAGGGCCCCCTGCTCCCACCCCTGGCTCCTGCACCCACGCCCTCTCTTGGAGGGGCCACGGCACCAGGCAGGGCCGACACCACATCTTGAAGGGCGGCGCCCCAGGTTTCATCGCTCTGTCAAGGCACAGCCCCTGGGGGGCGCGGAGCCCTGTGCTCACCACCACCACCTCCTCGGCTATAAAGTGGGACCCTTGGGCCAGTGCAAGGCTGTGCACGGCTTCCTGTGGATGCATCGAACAGTCTGAGACCCACAAATGGGAAACGTGTTCCAATCATACACAAACGGAGACCAGAGCAGAAAATTCCCTGAGCAGACAAAACCAGTTTAGTCACACAAGCAAAGCTCAATTTAGCTTATTTTCCAAGACAAGCGAGGCGAACGTGACCTGGGTCACTTTTTGTTTATTCTTCTGCACATCGTAAGCGAAACTTAAATTGTTCCCCAAAATTGATATGAGGAAACCACTAACCAGTTCCTTTCATTTAACAAAATTGTAACCAATCACTGTGAAGAATAAACACTCACTGCCTCCAGACTATGTAAGCTGCTCTGTAACATACTGTGAGCCTCATTCCACGTGGTCACGGGGCACCGCTGCTGGCCCGCTTGGATCACCTACCTGCCACCCCTGAACCAATCTGTGTGGCCTGGAAATGCCACAGCAGCCTGGTCAGTGAGCGTGCCCCTTTGTAGCTAGCCATGGAGGCGTGGCCTGGGCGCTGGGGAGAGACCTCAACACCTCCTGCCGTACCAGCACCACCTACAGCAGGGGCCATCTGACAGAAACTGATTTGACGACCTAAATGTGCTGCTTGGTTT